AGAAAGCAGTTTCTGGGCCACAACTAACAAGAAAGCAGTTTCTGGGCTACTCGCAGAAAGCAAGTCTTGTAAATCAGGTGATGGGGTACAATCCCAGTAAAACCCAATGTTTCCAGTTTTCTAGTACTATGCCAAGGAAGCAATTCCCTCCTGGTGGAAACCACACGACCCCCTCAGCTTGCCTTCGCCTAGAAGGCAGAGGGAGCTGCGCTGCTCTCAGTCCACTGACTCTGCCATCTGAGGAGGATCTCATACATGACACAGGTGACCCTCCACCTTCGTCACAGAAAGAGAAGCTACAGTCACACCCCTGGAAGTGTTTTCTCACCTTTCTCTATGCTACCTACTGCTCAGGGCTCTTTGCCAGGCTTGCCTTTGGACCAGGTTATGGCTGCTGCCAATTCTCGCCAGTGGACAGAGAGAACGGCGCTGTGGCCTGTCCTTTTGTTCCACAACACCACAGCACTATACATGGATCCCCACATGACTACAAAGACCAAACCCCAGCAGCTGGACCTTTCACCAGAACTGGCATCACAGGTGGACAGTCTTCTCCTACCACCACTGTTAGGACCCCTGCAGCACACCCTCCCAAGTCCACCCACACTCCCAAACACAACTACATGAAAAGCAAGAAAGCACACACACTCAGCTTGACAGCTAATACTTAAGAGATTCGAAAATCAAACAGCTCCTTCAAGGGAGTCTTAAAAAAAAAATGTACTTACCAAATGTGCCATAAAATCCTCTTGGGCCACAGGTGCCCACACCATATTTCTTTAAAGATGCCAAAGCTGCAGCCTGTGTGGAAGCAAACATGCTAATGACTTCCTATGTGTGGTCCAGATGACCTGACCCTCCTTATTCTAGCCTCCCACAGGGCTCCTCCTCCCCCTCCCACTTTCCCACTTTGTCCTAACTACAGTAATTCTAACAGGGTTTAGGAAACAGACTAGTAAAACACAAACCTGACGGAATGGAGAAGTGACATTTGTCTACCTCTGAAAACCCACTGACCACCAGGCTTTTCCTGAGGATGTCTGTGTGTCCTGATCCTAACAGGAGCTGAGGCAATTTCCTGGGTGTTCTCTGACTACTACCCCTGTCTGGCTTCCTAGGTTCTCTGGCTGCACCCATTTTGAGCCCACTAGACACTTCTGCCCTGTGGGGTCCCAGTCCAGATTCTGATCCTGTCAGACACAGAGAGGGAAACGCTGCCCCTCTCTGACGACTTACACCTGTCTTTTGTGTCGTCTCTTCAGCAGTGTCTTGTTCCACACCAGCACGACGCCCTACTCACCTTCACCCGAGGGTTGACCAGCAACCCAAGAAAGTTGAAGGCGGCAAAGTTTATACATTCTTTCCCATTCACCACGATGTTGTGGGTTGGAGGGCTGGGGAAAAGACAGAGTGGTTCACTTCCACACTCATCTGGGCACATGACAGCAGGCAAAGCACAATGCTGTAGGCACCCTTCCCTATTTGCTCTCCACCCCTTTCATTTGTGCTTTTTGAGAAGTTAAAGAACGGTCAATTAAATGTCAAACACCTTCCCATTAGCTCTGTTCTTTAATACACTCCTTGTACAACTTAAAAAAGAGAAAGATGGTGGGGTTGTGGGCAAGGCAGCAGATGACTAGGGCTTGGTTCTCAGCACAGTGGTGGCCGACACTGCTTCTAACCCCAGTCCCAGAGACCTGATGCCCTCTTGCCTACATGGCCACTGCACACACGTGTGTTCACATACACATCAACACACACACTCAGGCAAATACTCATACAAGTAAATGAAGAACGAATCTAATTTTTTCAAATGTATTTATTTATTATTTATACATTATTCTGCCTGCATGCTCTAAGATGGCATCAGATCTCACCAGATGGTTGTGAACCACCATGTTGTTGCTAGGAATTGAATCAGGACCTTTGGAAGAACAGTTAGTGCTTTTAACCTCTGAGCCATCTCTCCAGCTCCAAATCTATTATTTTTAAATGGAGATAAATAAATGATAAATCTTTGATTTTGAAACTTCAAAAGAGAAAGTAGCTTTCTAAAAACTAGGATAAAATAATCATGAATGAATTATAAAATGATCAAGATCAAAGGCAAGAATGGGCAAAGTGAGTTATGATCTTAAAGCATTTTTAAAAATATTATCTATAGCAACCCACTGAAAGAATAACTCATTTCCGAGTACAGCTGAGATGCTCTTTGAAAGGATCCCTCATGCCCTCTCACCCCTCAGAAACAAATTTCAGTAGCCAGCTACACAAGAGCCAGATGTGAACACAGGCGAGACGGGGCAGGCTCTCAGGAAACAGACTGTTGTCCATGAGAAGGAACGCACTGTGCCTCAGCACTGAGGCTGCAGTCACACTGCTGCCTGGCTGCGCCTATGGCGAGCCACAAAGGACTGGCACACTGCTCTCAGGGACACTATTTATTTTTAAACAGACGTGGTAACTCATAAAAGAAGAGGTACAAATTTCTGGAAAGTTAGAGAAGAGACAACCGGAAATCAAGTCACAGAAACAGACAAATACATGTAAAATGCAAGAAGACTCCATTTGGGAGGCAGAGGCAGGAAGAGCTCTGTGAACTGGAGGTCAGCCTGGTCTACTTAGTGATTTCCAGGACAGCCAGGCTACACAGTGAAACGCTGTATCAGGAAACAAAACAAATCAAAAAAAAAAAAAAAAAAAAAAAGGAAAAAAAAACCCATAAAATATAAAAGAGCCCATAGGGACATGTAGAATAGGTGGAAAAGTCAGAAGATCTAGAAGCAAGTTCTCTTATGAAAGAAGTCAACACAGCATCTTTCAAAATCTATAAAATTCTGACTGCTTGCTCCTGAGGTATCAGGAAAAAGACTGAATAGTTACTAGAAACAAATAAACATGTATAAATGGAGTGTTCAACTCAATTAGTGAATTTAAAAATACAAAAAGGCAAATCCAAGCATGACTCAATTTAAAAATCACAGACACAGAAATGACACTGGGTAAAGTTCAACATGGATATTTAAACTCTTAAAACCAAGGTTAGAAGGCACTATCACAAATTGATAAGATCCTGTATCTAAAATACGTAGATAACAAGGCAGACAATGAAGGCATTCTCTTTCAGAAGAGAAACTAAAGCCGCATATTTCTCAATGCTCAGCTTACCACAACAGCCACACTGTGTGCCCTGCACCTGTTTGTGCTGAGGCCACTTCCGTAAAAAAAATCAGTCATGCTATCACCCGAAAGGCCCTGGATCACACCACGTACAGACTGCAGCCTACTGAAACTCCTGGAACTGACATGGGATAATGTGCAATAAAATACAAAACGTGCAATAGTAAGACAGATATTAAGGAAGGAGTGTATGAGCGTCACCTGAAAGGACTGCTTAGCCTTTTAAATGCAACCCCAACTAAAATCCTCCCAAGACTCTAAAGAAATCTCACAGATTTCAGTAATGACATTGAAGGGAAGTTGTGCATGGCTCAGTGAGTTTAGGAACAGGCAAGAAGGTCCTCACAGGAAAACCCTATTAATACCAGGCTTGGCGGTGGGGCAGGAAGGCAAAAACCAATGAGAGTTGGGCAGGTTGACAAGTGTGCAAAGTAGGATAACAAGTGACCCACAAACTCCTGGGTCATGACAAAGCCGAGAAACCATACACAAAGGTGAATTCAAGACCTTATAGAACATAAAAGACACTTTAAAAATGACAGACGCCACCTCGGGGAGGGATGGTCCCAAAGATGCCAAGCTTAATAAAATGTCACATTTTGAATGGCTTCTGTCTTATGAGATTCTTAGAACAGCCTAGTCAGTGCAGGGTATAAATGAATATTGTCAGGGCCTAGAGGCAGGGAGGGAAGTGGGAAGGAAACTTGGAATTTACTTTAGGAGGGATGAAAATGTTCTAGTGAAAATGGCCTACCTCTGTGAATACAATAAAACCTACTTACTTTAACCGAATATTTTAAAAGAATGAATTTTATGCTACGTGGATACCTCAGGAAAGCTTGCTTTTACAGAAAAAACTAAAGTAACACTTTCCTGTGACCCAGTACCAGAGCAAACAGGAATCACACCAATGCAGTAAGACTCAGTTTACCAACACCAATAAAAACTTCATTCAAGAAAGCGCCACAGCTCAGCTAATACACACAAGGCCTGGGTTTAGTTCTTAGCACCACAAAAACAAGTAGGCTGGAGAGATGGCTCAGCTCTAATTGTAAGCAGAGTTTGGATCCCAGCATCCACGGTGAGTGGCTTCCAAATGCCTGCAACTTTAGCTCCAAGGACCCAACACCAGTTTTTGGCCTCCATAGGCACCCACATATACACACACATTTGCACATACTCTCTCTCTTTCTCTCTCTCACACACACAGTCATAACTAATCAAACTAGAAAATTTAAAACTATTGTGTTGTCTCCTCCTAGTTTTCTACCACTGAGCTACAATCCCAGCCCATTTGTTGTTATTATTATTATTTAATATTTCTTTTATTTTTTTGGGGGGGGAGGGGCTGCTTTGAATTCACTCTATAGCTCAGGCAGGGCTTGAACTTGGGATAAAGCAGACTCAACTTCCTCAACAGCTGAAATTCCTATCCACCAGGCACAGCCTCCTGTGGACTTTGTAAACAATGCACGTAATGCTCTTGGTTTTAACAAAAATTGATGAAAAAGGTTAAGACTACCTGGTGAGGATCAGCAGAGTGAACGCGTGTGAAATAAATACAATTTTAAGATTAGCATGAGACACATTCAGACTCTCAGGGGTCTGTCCATTCGCACTCCAATAACATAAAGGAGAAAATTAGAGAGAGGCCTGGCACAGTGACATGCCTATAACCCCAGTGCTGGATTAGGTGCAAACAGGAGGATCACTGGCCAGGCAGCCTAGCCAAAAACCAGTGAGACATTCAGTGAGACACTGTCCCCAGGAAATAAGGCAAAGAGTGACAGAGAAAGACTGAACCATTAGCCCCCAAACATGTGTATATGTGCACACTGGATGTGCGTAACCGCCTACACACTCGGGAAGAGAGACATGTAAAAAATGAGGAGAGAGAGGTACAGAGAGAGGGGAAAGAGAGGAAAGAGAGGTAGAGAGGGGGAAAGAGGTAGATAGGGTAAGGAAGACAGAGAAGGTGAGGAAAAAGGAATAAAGAGAAAGAGAGTGAGGAAAGACAGGAAGAAAGAAGGTGAGGGAAGAGAGAGAGAGAGGGGGGGGATGGGGGGAGTCCAATATAGGAAATAAACAAAGTTTTCAAGCCAACAGACAGGACTACAGGCCACTCTGAGCACAGGAACGGAGCAGGACAAAAGGTTCTAGAAAAAAGAAAGAAAGAGAGAGAGAGAATAAAAGAAAAAGGGAGAGAAAGACAGAAAGAAAGCCTAACAGATAACATGACTGAACAATGGAGACTGTACAGGCTTATAGGAAGATACAGATAAACTGCAGACTGCCAGAGAGAACAAAAAGTAAAGCAAGGATGATGTTTAACTCTAGGAAAAGGAGAAGTTCATGAGAAAGAAATGCAGCCCCCGGCACTGGCCTCTTTGGCAGCAGACTCAGAACTAACAGGGAAGGGAGGAGCAAGGCGGAGTGCTTGCAGCTTCAGGGCTCCTGCTGCGCCCACCCTGGGTGCTGAGACACAGTGAGAGCCATAGCACGCTGTTGTACCTGCTTTAGACCGCCTTTCCCTAACGTGTACTAAGACCTGAGAGAGGGTGCTGCAGTACTGCAGACATCGAGTGCACCCATGCAGCCAGTGTTTAGTCCCGCCACGGCCTAGACAAGCAGGAACAAGAAACACAGGTGCGAGTTAGGGGAAGAAAGACTTTTTCTCTTTTTTCTTCTTTAAGGAAAAAGAAAAGGTAAGTTTTAATGCTCAAATTAAGAGTTTAAAATATTCTGGGACCATCCCTCGAAAATTTTGAAACCTACAGCAGTTCCTCAAAGAAATGCCTTCATTTAACAAGGGAAAATCACACCTCACAGGCTTTGGAGAACGGACTGAAGCTGGGGCAAGCACTACAGTGCAGCCAAGCCAAGTAAGTTACCCAGAAACGATGTTGTAGTTGAGAGCAGGATGGTCTTTTGAGACAGGAGGGACGAGAGGTTCTGGTTGCCACTCTTCAATCAGCTCTTCCTTTTCCTACAGAGGAAGCGGCAGTAATTAAGGTGCAGGAAGGCACAGGCGCCTCACACCGTCTCCGCTGATGCCTACCTCCACTCTGCAACAATGAGCAGTGCACTTCCAGAAGCCATCTTTCAGGGTCACTACCACCCTCACCTCTTTCCTTAGTACAGCTCACACCTCTTTCTTATGCAGTTTTGGGGTAATATGACAACTTGAAATCTTCTGTGCTCAGGATTACTTCATCCTTACCACACCTAACACATCAAAATTCCACCTGAGATGTGGCTAGGTAGGATGATTTCCAACTGTGACCCTTCTCCTCTAGGTCAGGGACAACTCACATAATCTGTGTGTAGACCCTGAAGTCCAGAAGATGCGCATGTGCCCCCAGACCACCTACCAGCAGGCTGCTGTCTCCTCCAGTGTGGCTTTAGCCCACTTTCCTCAAACTATCTACTCAGATGTCCCGTACCCCCTGATCTCCCCTCATTAAGCATGTTAACTGCAGAGTGACACTTATTCCTTTTTAGAAAGATGTGGCACATACCATGAGTAAAACAAGCCTCATTTCTTACCTTGGCTGTAAGATCAGAACGCTCCTGCAACTTGTAAGTTTTAGAGAAAACAAGTCTGATTATCCAAAGTATTAGAATTCCTTCCAGAATAAGATGATATGCTGGAGCCTGAGGGAGAAAAGCAAAGACAAAGTAGAGAAACCAAAGAAGCCATTCCAAAGCCTGCAAGGAAAGTCAGCCCACCACAGAGCTGTCTCTCCTGACCTTTACACTATTACCACATAAACCTTACTGCCAGGGCTTCCTTAATGGCTCCTCATGTCTTTCCCATCTTAACAACAGGCAATCACTCCATTACATGAAAAACACATAATACTTCAGCTTTAAAACCTTCCAGAAAATGGGTGTGGTGGCGCATGCCTGTGGTCCCAGAAGCAAGTGGATCTCTATGAGTTTGAAGCCAGACTATTCTACAAAGTGAGTCCAGGATAGCCAAGGCTACACAGAGAAACCCTGTCTCAAAGAACCAAAACACCTTCCAGCAAATGAAATGGTAAGACCTGACACACAATCCCACCACTTAAAACAACAAATTACATTAATTTAAACCTTGACTGGCCGGAAATGACTATAAGAAGACAGTACACCTGAGCACACCTATCACCTCTGCCCAACCACGGATAGATTAACAAAGTTGTGTGGAAACCAGCTTCCATAATTTGTAAAGTTTTGTGCACCTTATTGTATTTTTTTTCTGCCCCACTAAATTTCCTTAAGTCTTAGACAATACAGTGTGGACTGTGGATTGGGTGACAGTAAGAAATGCTTAAAGAAACTCAGTTCTCTTTTCTATAGGCTGCCCAAATAATGTACCATGTAGACAGTCACAAAGATATCTGTATTTTATTTAATGATTTATTGATTATTGATTGATTATTATTATTCTTTATTATTATTGTCTGCATGTACATTGGTGCCTGGTGCCTGCAGAGACCCTAGAATAAGACTTCCCTGGAAATGGTTACAAATGGCTGTGAGCCACCATGTGGGTGCTGGGAATTGCATCTAGTCCCAATTAACTGCTCTTAACTGCTGAGATGGTCTGTCAGCTATTATAGTATCTTGTCTTTTACATATTTTCAGGGTGAAGGCCTGACTGAGTTTACCTAGAAGAATCTAGACACCAATAACGCTTCAATCTGTTAGTGACTCTATTCCAGTGGGTTATCACCAGAAAATGATTGAAAACAAGCATGGCAAGCTGGGTGTGGTGGTGCACCCTTTAATCCCAGTACCTGGGAAGCACAGGCTGGAAGATCTTTGAGTTTAAGGCCAGATGGCCCACACAGTTGGACCCTATCTCAAAAACAAACAAACAAGAAACAAAATATTAAACTCCGGCCTTTTTTGTTTTGTTTTTAAGACGGATCTGACTTTGTAGCCATGGCTGGCCTGGAACTCACTATGTAGATCAGGAGTACTGGGACTAAAGGAATGAGCCACCACACCTGGCAAACCCAGGCATTTAAAAGTTAGGCATGATGGTGTATGCCTGAAACTTAGTACACAGTGGGGTTTTATCTCAAAATGCAAACACATACTTACAAACTTAAATATAAAAAACAGATTAACAATGAGGCAGAAATAAGTGACTTCACCACAGCTAAAGAACAAAGAACATACCAGACTATGGAGAATGGAAAACTGCTGACAAATTCACATATGAACTTTCGAGTCAATGTGAAAATAGCTCTAAAACTACATAGATTGATTACATACACACACCTGTATTCTTCAGGTATACCATACAAACCTCAAATTCTACAAAATACACGGAAACTAAAAACAAGAACAGAAATCTCTCTTTAAGATGACTTACAATTTATGCTGACTCCTCTTAAAATTAATTTAGAACTCCAAATAATCTTGGTGTTCCCAATAATTGGACGATAGCAGGCAAACATCTATTCAACTCAACACACAGGCAACCCCACAAAGAAACTGCCCTTAGATGAAAAAAATTCCCGTCTAGGAAATTACTCAAATAGTCATAAACACCAGGTTTGGTTTTTTTTCTCTCTCCCCCTAGGAAATGTGATACACAAAGAATTCTCCCAAGTCTGTGTTGTTCCCTTTTTGGGTAGTAAAAAGTCACACTGCACAACAGAAAATTACTCACTTATTTAACTAGAATAGGAAAATCAAGTGTGCTCTCTCTCTAATATTCTTCATAAAGGTAGCTCTTATAATGGGAGCATTATCATTACCCAGTCCAGTAAGCAGCAACTTTTGGAACCTTAGCAAAAGAAGTGAAATTCCCTTCCAATCGACATGAGCTCTCTAAGCTCTGGGATCAACCTGCTTGCCCTCAGCGTGGTCTTCGGGTTTCAGATCTGTGTGGTCCAATACATACCCACTAGCCACCTATGGCTTCCGACATTTTCACTAAAGCGCAGTTACAAATTAATTGTCCCGTGGCGTTAGCGACTGCCCTGTTGAACAGCCCCTGAGTTAGAAGACATAGACAAGTTCTACAGGACACATAGCACGATAGCTCAGTTTGTCCAACAAAGCAGCATTCTCCCAAGACCGGTATTTGTTTCTCAGATCGTCTTACACAGCTGAATAAAACTACCCACACCGTCCAACCATGCCTTAGAAGTCTTTCAAAAAGTTACACGTTTATAAGAAATTGTGGGCAAAACACTGGCCTCATGAATTCCCGATTATTCTTTTCTACTCTCCCACGAGGCCTGGGCAAAGCTAACAATTCCTCACACCTGACACTGCCCAATCCCATCCACCATGTCTCGCCATCAGTTCAACTGTGGTCTGAGGACCTGCGTGTCCTCGGCACCCCTCCCAAGAACTGCTTTCCCGGGACCCTGCAGGCATCCAGGAGGCGAGTACAGCCAAGCCCCGTGCCTTGTGCTCTCGGGAGCAGGAAGCACCACGGTTCGGGATACAGTGCGCTAGGCCCGGGCCCGCGAGCTCACGGGAGGCTCGGGCGGCGGACGCACCTCGTACAGCGCCTGCACCATCTCCACCAGCACCCACTGCTCCGCCACGGTCGCCATGGTCAGCCACTCGACTTCCGGCAGGCGTGTCAGAACCGTGTCAAATAGTGTACGGCGCAGGTTAGTGACGTCACGAAACACCGGGGGCGGGACTTCCGGAAGTGGGGCATGAGCTCCTCGCGCGATTGTGTTGTAAGTGGACCGGGCTCTTAAGGACTGAGGTTCCGAACCTCCGAAGTTTGTATAGCGATAGCAATGAGCTATGGACTTTGTGCTGAGAGAATCAACACGAGGCTTTTATCCTTGGCAGTCGGCTGGGCACAGGGTTATTAAGATGGAGGAAAATAGGCCCACAGTCCTGGGCCTGGTCTGTATTCCTGGGAGGCGGAGGAAGGCGGATCTTCTGAGCTTTAGGCTGGCCTGCACGGCACGGGTAGTTCCAAACCAAACAGGGCTACACAGTGAGACCCTGTCTCAAAAAACCAACACAGAAAAAGTAAAGAAAAACATGAAGGAACTGTACCCTTCCTTTTAAAATAACAAGCAGTCCAGTCATGCAACATTATAAAAAATACCCACAGATAGTTATGTAGTTTGCGCCTCAGAGGAGTCGGGAATCATATTCAATAGTGCGGCTATGTCTGTCTATTCTCATGGTAAAGTACAGTAAAAAAAAAAAAAAACCTGCCACAAACATTTATATACCTAGTTTCACGTGCACACCAGTTTGCATTTCCTGAAGGTTGTCTAGAAGTGTCACTAATGCAGCTTTTTCTTTTTTTGGGGGGGGGCGAATAGAAGTAAACTGGGCGGGAGAGAAAGCTCAGTCAGTAAAGAGACCAGAGCTCAATCCCCAGCACCATGTAATCAAAAAAGAAAAAAAAAAAAAAAGGGAAAAAAGATTCCAGCTTTGGGGAGGTGGAGTAAAAAAATCTCTGGGGCTCTCTGAGACAGCTATCCTAGCCCACTTGGTGAGTTCCAGGCCAGAGACAGACTGTGACTCAAAAAACAAGGTTCGTAAATGAAAGACACTGTCAGGTCTAAACACACACACACAAATACACACCCCTGTAAATATTCTCCCACACCCATAAAAATATCCAAACTTGTTCACAGTGAGTATACCAGTGTTACATTTCCACTAGCAGCACTTCAGTTTCTTTCCACCTTCACTAGGATTTATCACTTTTTAAAATACTGACCATTCTTACAAGTGTGTGTTTAAATCTCACTTTAATTTGTTAGATTTTTTATGTTTATTTGACATCAAATAAGGTTTTTTTCCCTTTTTAAAGATTCATACCTGTGAGTGGTTTGTCCGCATGTGTGTATGTATACTGTGTGGGCCTGGTATCTAGGGAGGCCAGAAGAGGGTGTTGGAACGGGGAGCTCCATATAGTCGTGACCTCCCGTGTAGGTTCTGGGAATTGAACTTGGGTTCTCTGCAAAAACAGCAACTGCTCTTAGCTGCTGAGTCATCACTCCAGCTACCAAATACAGCCACACTTTGGTGAAATGTATTCATATCTTTGCTCCATTTTCCAATTGGATTACTTCTGTTTTGCTGTTCCATTTTGAGAATCCCTTGTATGATTCTAGATACTAGGCTTTGGTTGAATATGTAGTACAGTAAATATTTCTATTCCCTAAAGCTCATATGTTGAAAACCCAATTTTAGCACAGTGATGCTATCATTTGAATGTCTCTTCTAAAACTCATGTTGAAATTTAATTAACAGTGTTAAGATATTAAGAGGTAGAGCCTTTAAGACAGGATTATGCATGAAGGCTCCAGCCTCATAAATGGATTAATATTATGCTGTGAAAGCAGATTAGTTGTCACAGCGTGGCATTGTTATATAAGCCAGTTCTTGTATGTTCTCACTTGTCACGTGATGGCCTCAGGCAGGTTGTGACACATTAGGAAGGCTCTCGCCAGATTCTAGCACCAAATGCTGGGCTTTGTTTCTTGAACCATGGAAGTTCTATTTCCTGTCTTTATAAGTTAGTCTGTGGGGAGAGAATGGAGGAAGATAAGTAGTATTAGAAGCTTGGGGCTTTGGGAGGTGATCAGATCATGAGCACTCCTACTTGGGGCCAATGCTTTACAAGGTCCCAGAGAATCCCTGTGTCCTCCTGGTCCCTGGCAACCACCTTCCAGCTTTATTTTCTTAAGAATTTAGTTAGATATCTCATACATGAAACCAGGTAATATCTTTGTCTTATAACTGGCTTATTTCATTTAGAAATAATGTCCTCAGTTTCAACTCTTCTAGAGAATATGACAAAATCCCTTATTTTTAAAGGCCAAGGTCCCTATATGTAAACCACGTTTCCTTTCTTCACATGTTTGTGGGCATCTAGAAGGTTTTTACCTCTTTGCTATAATGTGCAATATTGAGTTTTCTTTTTAAGCAGGGTCTCAAATAGCATAGGTCAGTCTCAAACTCTCCATATAACCAAGGATTACCTTGAACTCTTGTACTTTTTGTCTCTGCTTCCTCAGTGCTGGAATTACAGGCATGAACCAACCCAGATCCAACCCAGTACGTCCCAAATGCTAGGGCAAGCACTCTACCAACTAAATTGAACCACATGTTTTAAATTTGTAAAAATTACCTCTTTCTCTTTGTCTCTCACCGTGTGTGCTAGTGAGTGTGTAGGAGTTTGTCTTTTCCTTCTCTGTGAGACCCAGGAATCCAACTGGAGGCTTTAGGCTTACCCACTAAGCCATCTTGGTGGCTCCTTGTATGAATATTCATACACTTGTGTGAACCGACTTTCTTCTCAAGTGCTAGAGTATGAATCGGACTCACAGTGATAGGCAAACACCCCACCACTGAGCTAAACAAACATAATACCTTAGCTCAGTGGTATGTCTCTGTCACTAGATACGCTACTTACTGTTCTCCTTGCTGTGACAAAGTACCTGGCAGAAGCAGTTTGAGGAAAGAAAGACTAACCAGAGCTCACAGTTTGAAGTGATATACTCCACCTGCAGGGGAGAGCATGGCAGCAGGAGGGTGAAGTGGCTGTAACACTGTGTCCACAGTCAGGAAACAGGGATAAAGGCCGGCGCTCAGTTTGCTTTCTCTTTCATTCCTTACGCAGTCCAGGATCCCAGCCAACAGAACAGTGTTGCCCACACTCATGGTGGCTCTTCCTACCTCACCTAAACCTCACTGGAAACGTCCCCTGGTGTATTTCTGAAAGATTCCAAATCCACACCTGTAGGCAATGGACATTAACCACTACAGTTTCATTCCTTGGCAACATGACAACTCAGCATGTCAACGTTAAAACATAGCATCCTACCTGGTCTTCGAGCACCATTTACATCCTATAAGGTAAAATCTATTCATTACAAACTTTCTGGAAGCGAAATTGCGGCTTTATGTGGTAACTCTGTATTTAGTATTTTGATGAAATGCAAGATTTTAAAACAAAATTTCCTGGGACCCTTGGCATGAACACAGGCAGTGTTTGAGGGAAATGCGTGCTACATGTGCTGCGTGTTTCCCTTCATATCTAATGTGTGTATTTGATCCACTTCTTGAAATATTGCCTGATATATTGCGCTTTACAACTAACCCTGCAACTCATGTGCCAAGAAAGAAGTTGAGCTGGATGCAGTATGCACACGTGTCATCCCAGAACTCAAGGAGGCAGAGGCAGGTGGTTGTCTGTTAGTTCAGGGCTAGCCTGGGCAACCAAGGCTAAGCTGCACAGAGAAATCCTGTCTCAAAAAAAAAAAAAAAAAAAAAAAAAAACCTAAACCAAAACAACAGCGAAACAAACAAGTTGGAAACAGTATGTGTAAAAACTTCACCAAATAGTTTACGGTTTGTTAAATACTTAGTCTCACTGGCATCTCTTCAGTGAGCTCTGAGAATCTTCCAGCATGCATCTACAGCAGACACCCATGCGCTAGCAGGCACTGCTTTCTGATACTGTATTGTGAGTCCTATTGGTGGTGGACTGGAAGTGATGTGCCATGGTTGTGATTGCATTTCCCTGATGACCCCTGATGCTGATCCTCTTTCCTGTACTTATTGCCCACCTCTACATTTTCTCTGAAGAATTCACTTTGGAAATCCTTTTTTTGTGTTGTGTCTTGTTTGAACTTTCATAGTGAGTAAACATACAACTTTCTTCAGCTTTTTGAATTTCTCTTAGTATATCTTAGAAGATTTTTCCTCATTTACCCTGTGTTCCTCTGTTTCGAGACCGTTATTAAAGTGTTTTAGATCTTCTGAGTTTATCTTCCATGTTTCTCAAGTTCACACTCTGCCTCAGTTCCCTTCTCCTTCTTTTGTGCCACACACAATTGGTTTGGGCCAGAAATCATCTTTGAGTCATTTTTATAATGTTATTCATCCATCGAATAGTTTTTAAAGGTTTACAATATATTGAAATTTAGGATATACTGAAATTCCTCAGTGTCTCTTATTTATAATGCTCAACTCTTCTTTCATAAGACTACTTTTTCCTCTTCACTTACCGTCCAACCAATATCTTGAGTCCCCACTCTAAGTCTGTTTGAGGAAAGAGTTGGGAAAATATAAACAATCAATAAAAAAAATCCTTTTGAATGGTGTACTCTCACAGAGGCCCTGCACACAAACAAGAGAGAATATATGAAGTCCCAAGAAAGGCTAGAGAAAAAAATACAAAAGAGGGATGTGAAATTGAAGTTAGTATGGTGGTTTTAATAAGAATGGCCCCTATAGGCTCATGTATTTGAAACACTTAGTCATCAGGGAGTGTCACTGTTTTGAGAAGGATCGGAAGGTGTGGCCTTGACAAAGTTGTAGTGAGCTTGTTGGAGGAAGTGTGTCACTGAGGGTGGGCTTCAAAATCCCACACTCGGCACATTATCCCTCTCTGCCTGTGGTTCAAAATGTAGAGGTCTCACATGCTGCTCCAGCACCTTGCTGTACCCACCAAGCACCCTGCCATGATGATAACGGACGAAGCCTCTGGAACTGTGAGTCAGCTTCAATAAAATGCTTTCTCTTCTAAGAGTTGCCGTGGTCAATAGAACAGTGACTCAGAAGTGTGGGGCACGTGGACTGGG